TTCCAGATACATTGTGAGTGACAGAAGATTCTGAGTATCAATCTCGCTTATCTGAGCAGAAGAGAAACAAACCTGTGTTTAAGTCTTTCAGATGCTAATCTTTTGGTATCCTCAAGAGGCGACAAAGATGAATAAAAATTCTAAAAATTAGGACTTGCCAAAGACTTATTTGACCCTTACTTTGATTTTTGTCTTGCCAAGCCTCGATTGCGGTTCAGTTATCAACTTGTCACGTAACACTTGTCACGCGATTAGAAATGATGGCACGTAACGACATAGGCACAGGTCGCGTATTAATTACGAAACGCGCCGCGTTTTGTTTAAAATATTTAATTTCTAACGTCGATATAGTAATTCTCATTATATCTGCCCGACATTCATTGGAAGCAAACATCAAAATATCTGCCATTTGATCGTTGACCGTGCGATTAAACTGTTTATCAAAGGAGTGCTTCAACACTGCACAACTTTTCAAATGCTTGATATAAAGTCCTTTTTCTTTTAATTTTTACAGTAAACAGATAAGAAATTATATACCTTAATTTAACAACTAGATTTTGCTGACAAAATCCGATAAATAACATTCAGACGAGTAATTGTAAACGATGCGCTAAAACTCCCTCTCGCATTTATTCGATCAAGTGCCCTGTGTGCTTATTAAACTTTTGGAGCTTGCGGGTGGGCGCTTATTCGAGGTTGGGCGCTTGATCGAATAAACACGGTACGTTTGGTAGCCATTCCATTTTCGTGGCACTTGATTACGCAACTGTTACAGGTCGTGAAACTATAACTCTCTGCTTTTGGACTTCGCTTCCACTTTGTATCAACGGACAATCTACCATCGGCGATGACCGTTTTGACACACATTTGTCTAAGAGTCACGCACTATTAGGAGACCATAATGTAACATAACACTTCTTATGCCTTTGGCGTTGCCTTCGTAATGAACGATGGGTTCGCCGCATGTTTGTCAGTTTCGCGACTTTCGCGACACTTAATCGGCTTAGTGTCACGCAACAGTCGGCTGAGGCCGTGTCGTCACGCAATACTTGAGTTTACAAAACAGTTGCTGCCCTTTTTCAGTTCTTTACCACATAATTGTATTAGAGTCACGCAACCGTCCGGTGGACTTGTCATCACACGATATCTTGGCTCTTGGATTTACAAGATTCAGAATTATCTTCAAGATTGTAACTCAAGGTGGCAGCATTTCCTCCATTATTCGCAGGTTGTTCATCATCAGTATCATCTTCGTAATTATTCAGCAGCTGGCGGATAAATGGATACAGTTTTATTGTCACGGAGCTGGCCGCTCGAATTTCTTTTCCGTATCGCTGCATCAGCTTCCAAACACCACCTGGGAACGAATTAATACATTTAAAAACCGAAAATGATGAAGAAAAAATTTAAAAAGGAAATGCATTCATTACGTGCGGTATTTCAGTGACGTAATGACGCAGTACTTATATCACTAGGCTATTTTCCCCGTAAGGAGCAGGTGAAGAGTGCTCTATTTAGGTAACACTTTCTCTAGATCCGTATTTGTCCCCTAAATGAAGGTTCCACCGCGCTATTGGACATTACTCCGGGACTCGCTTTCTACGACGAGGTTTAGCGACAACAGTTTAAGACTGACACTTCTTGCAATACAAACTTCAATTTTTTACCAGGCGAAAGGAATTTTTTTATATTATACAAAGCAACCCAAACATGAAACTGATTCCTACTTACCAACTGTTAGTTTTCGTTCTGTGATAAATGAATGGATGTTGAGAAGATCTTCCGCTAATTCCTGAAAGAAATGGAGAAGCGTCAAACTATCTTTCTGAGTGTTTCGTTTAATAAATAGGCGTTGCCTCGTGTTGACAGATTTATTCGATGACAAGAATCGTGATTGACACTAATTCAATAGATTGATTTAAAAGCGTTAGATTATTATGTTTTAAGTCAGTTTTTCAGCAGAATCGAAGTGAGAAAGAAGTTATTTTGTTATCGTTTTTCTGTCTCTAAATCCGCTTACCTGGAGAATCTGCTAACCCGTAAAGTGAGACTGTTGTAACGACCCGCCACAGAAGTAAGTTTATATTGAAGTTTTTGAATTTAGTTACAAGATAAAGACTTGATTTGCGTTTGTTCTAATTGCGAATTATAAATGTATTTTCTTTTAGATCGAATAATTATTAAAGCTTGGCTTAATATTATATGGTTTGTGGTGGTCATTTGATCTAACCAGTTCCGAGTAAGGAAACACTGAGCATCAAATACGAGAAGTGCAGGCACAAATTGTCTATACTACTCAACATTTCCCTCTCCAGCTTTGTCTCTCACTTTCGTAGGTAACTTTAAGACTAAATCCATGGTACTCAATGACTCTTTTAAAATCTCCTTACTGCTGATAAGCAATACTGATATTTCCTTAAATCTTTGTCGTGTCACCCAAACGTTGGTCAAAAATCGAGTCAAACAGAAACTAACCCTAAAACGTGAATCGAGATTAGTTCACAAGTTATTTTTTCTCAGTGAGTCCAAGCAGATCACTAAACACACGACTGACAAGTGAAATTATACATGGTCTGCTATCATTTGGGTGATTTTCACAATGAATTTGTCATATCGTTGCCATTCTTCGAGTTACAACTTACAGCATCTCCAAACGTGAAATACACAATGTCCCTGGACCCAGCAGCACACGCCATCATTTGAATTAAACCTGACAAACATTACAAAAGAAAATGCTGTAGCACCTTGATAATGTTATTCTAAATAACAGTGAAGTTGTGAGGAGAAATTAATGATTGGTCATATCTAAGATTGAAAGGGTTAATAAATCTAAAAAAATAAATAACTGAACAAACCCTTCACTCTAGGATCGCCTCCAAATGCGCCACAGCCCCAGTTTCCTACCAAAAGAGAAAGAACGTAAGTTTTTCAGCCACTGAGCTGACTGCGCTATGAAAGTGATTTCCTTTTGAGTATTGAAAGTAAAACGTGATATTAATGGTTTGTCTTTAACACGCTCTGTGCCATTGGTCAACAAAACTCGCGCCATCCTCTCGACCAATCAGTGACTTGGGCAATGGCGGTTTCCCGCGCTTTTTCACATCGAGTTCTCATTGGACTCCCAATGGTTTTTTCCTCTGTTCTAATTTGTAGTCGTGGGTATTTAAGTTGACATTTTGCGACATTCATGCGAAAAGAGTCTCAAATGGTCCGTTACAACTTTTATGGAGTAAATCTACGGGTCGAAAGCCTCGAGGTATTTCTGAACCAACAAACACGGCTGGTCTAGTTGTATTGGTCTCACCTGTGGCAATTGCTGGAAGATATTTCGGTTCTACGGGGGAGTAAAACCCACAGTATGCCTGCAAGAGAAAAGCATTCATTTATAGGTTATTAATGACCTGAAGACTCTGGAAAGACAATTTTCTCTCGATGGAGGCAAACTTGCAGGGAAGGTGGTCGAGTGGTCCTGTTTCGAGTCCTGTCTGGGAAATTGTACCTTGTCAAGTTCTCTTTTGAGCAAGCCAACTTGAAACTGATCTGTATAACAGCGAAATACTTGTGCATCTATGGCCACGATCTTAGAGTGCCGTCGTCCCCAAGAATCCCTGGAAAAAAAAAGGAGATAGAGAAAAATACGTCAAAATAAAAAAACTTAAAAGTCAAAGGAAAACAAATTCAAGTACAGTTTGAACTCTAGAATGCGAAACATGGGTGTGAGTGCTAGTTGATCTGTCTTTTTTTGTTCCAAAGTTGTGAGGGGTGAAATATTAGACTCGCAAAACGCCTGGCCTCCTTATTTGCCGGAAGATCTAGCCAATATTTTAGCCATGTCTCTTTATTGTTACTGATTATTACAAGGTGTTGATGACGACTGGAAAATGTTGCGTTCAAGTGGCAGTATTTTGTGTTGCGCTTTTCTCTTTTTTCCAGGGGGGATACATCAGCTTTTACGTTGCAATCTATTTTCAAACGACAACGATGACACATAGCCTTTCTTGGCCCACATCACAATTTTGAGCACCTCTAGCTACCGTTTACCCGAGATTCTCGAGCAACAGTAGCGAGATGTGAAGAAATATGAAAAATTTCAGATTCTTGTGTCTTGAGATCTTCAACGGCACTTAGGTACCTTGTTGTTCTATCGCTATGGTTACCAGCCCATCTAAACGTGTGCGCATATCCTGTGTAATCACTGTAACGCTCCGCGCCTGAAATAAAAAGGGTTAATTTGTTGAATGAGGTCAGAATGGCGTCAGGTTAAGGATACACGTATACTACAACAGAAGATTTTTTGATTCTCTAAATCACTGCTCACAAGGCGCAAGGCGCCAGAGCAAGTTTGAATTGAGTGTCAAATAAAGTGCTTTTCGATTAAGGGTCGTAAAATGAAAACCAAAGTAACCACAACGGCCAATCAGAGAAATGGAAAATACCATTAAGAGCCAATGACAGCTTAAAGTTTAAACAATCAACCTGCCGAAAGCGCGGGAAAACGCGCGTGACCAAGTGTGTGATTGGTTTACGTTTTGCATATGATTGGTTGAAAGTGGCACGAGTTTTGTAGATCAATCACAGAGCGAAGTAAAGCAAAACCACAGCAACTGATTGACACCTGATTGAAAATTGCTCTATACTCCGGGATTTTGTTGGTTTCGCCTTACTTTGTACAATGAAAACTTGCCCCACCCTCCTTTCCAATTGAACGCAAACTGAAAACCAAAATAAACTTGGTCATTCATGTTTTCCCGCGTTTGTGACAGTACACTTGTTTTAAATTAGAGTTGGCACTGGCTCCTCGTTGTACTTTCTTCCTCCCCCACTGGTCTTTGGGATTTCTCTGGTCCTGACTTAACGACAATAAATTCAAATTGTCGCACTTTTACCCCACAACAAACCACAGGATGCGTAAGTAATCAAATTCACAACCCAAAGTACAATGTTTATTGGAACAGCAGAACCAAGTTCATGAGACGGGTAGGTATATAAGGGGTCCGCTATATTATCGTGCACAAGTTTTAATTTACCTGTTATCATTAAACACTCATTGTTATCAAGCCGCTCACAGAACAGCCTTGAAAGGATCAGTTCAGGACAT